TTGCCAAAATATTTTTAGGCTGAAGCAGTAAAAACCGCCATTTATTTGATTAAAAGTGATCCATCGCTGCCTTTAGAGGAAGACTTACATGAAGAAACCTAAAGTGATAATGAGGTAAATCTATCTCATTTAAAAGTATTTGGTTGTTCTACATTTGTGCATGTCAATGCAAGATTTAGGAGTAAGCTCAACTCAAAACTTGTAAAGTGCACTTTCAATGAATATAACTCAAATGAGTTTGGGTATAAGTTTTGGGACTACAAGAATCAGAAATTCATTAAGAGCATGGGTGTCAATTTCAATGAAATGGAGATGTACAAGAACATGATCAGAACACAGGATAACCCGTCAGTTACTTTTGAAAAGTCCAAATATGTTGAGCTAGATGACATTGGTGATCAGAATAAAGGAGAAAGAAAAAGTGTTAAACCAAATAGAACACTAGAAGTTCCTCGGTCACCTGCTACTAAAGTCAGAAGTCCAGCAAAGTGATATAACCGGTTTTGTTATACAATTTTTTGCTAACTGACGTGGTGAACCAGGCTTTGAGAAGGTCACTCAAATTAAGGATTCAAGGAAGTGGGAGTTTGTTATGAACGATGAAATGCGGTCATTAAAATCAAATCGAACATGGGTTTTGACGGTATCACCAAATGACAAAATTATTACACAAGTGAGTCTACAAGCTGAAAGAGGAGTAAGATAGTAACAGGTGTTATAAGACAAGACTTGTTGTGAAGAGATTCTAGCACAAGCAAGAAGTGAACTATACAGATTTTCTCCGTTGGTGAAGATGATAACTGTCAGGGTTGTGCTAAGTCTGGTAGCAAAGAAAAATCTACATCTGGAGCAGATGAACAACTTTCTTATATGGAGATCTGGATAAGAAAATATACATCGTACATCCGCAGGGTTACAAGGTTACAGGGAAAGAAGGTCTGATATATAGGTTGAAAAATCCTTCATGGCTTAAAGCAGACTCTCAGGCAGTGGTAAAGAAGGTTTGACATGTTCATGTCAAACAGTGGGTACATGAAATGTCAGGCAAACCACTGTTGTTTAAACACTTTGATAGTTGTCATAAGATGACGTGTTGATTACAGGAAAAAAATATAGGTAAAATCAAGAATTTAATATGAGCAATTATCAAATGAGTTTGAAATGAAGAATTTAGGTAAAACAAAAAATATTCTCGTGTTGAGAATCAACAGGGATATGAGTGCAAATACACTGAAGTTATCTCAGACAAATTATGTTGAGACGATCCTATAGAAGTTCAACATTAGCAACTCACGGTCGGTTTGCACCCCCTTAGGTATACTTCAAGCTATCGAAAGAGTTATTGTCTAACTCTGAAGCAGAACAAACACAAATCGAAACTCTGTATGCTTCAGAAGTTGGAAGTTTAATGTATGTTATGATTTATATTATACAAAATATTGCATATGTAGTGAGAGTGGTCAGAAGATACATGAGCAATTCATGCAGACATCATTGGGAGGTGAAGTAGATTCTCAGCTATTTCAGGGGAACAATCAACAGAGCATTTTGCTATTAAAGTGTAGGGATTAATCTATAGAGATTTGTAGATTCAGATCTGACGGGAGATGTGAATGATAGAAGTACAATTCGACATTTTTGCACTTTGGGGAACACAACAGTAAGTTGGGTTTTCAGGTTGCAAAAAATTATTGCACTTTCAACTACGGGAGCCGAATATATTGCTATCGTTAAGGCTAGCAAAGAGTTGATTAGGCTGCAGGGCTTTATGGCAGAATTGGACAAGAAATAAGGGATTGAAAAGTTTCATAGTAACAGTATGAATGCAATTCATCTTGCTAAATAAACTCATTTTCATGTTAGGACAAGCATATTCGGCTGAAGTATCACTTTATATGCTCTCCTATAAGAGGGGTATTTGTTCTTGGAGAAAATACACAACTCAAAATCCTACAGATATGTTGACAAAAGTAATGACTATCGCGGTTGGAGCTACATTTGGCTTTAGTTGGAGTCCATGAAAGTTGAGACCGGGTGTGAGCCACACCACGATACGTGACTATGAAGATGGTACAGATGGAGGTGCAGATCTACTGGACAAGTGTGTTGGGTAATATTAATCTGTGGGAGATTGTTATGTTGTGGAGTCTAAAAAACCCACAGTCGAAGCATCCATGCCCTCAGGACATTGGCGCGACGTGCTCTCGCCCATAGGGGGCATGCCGGCACCGCATGTTTGTGGCACCACTGCCCTCAATTTCAAGAGCCTAAGCGCCCAGTTGCAGAGCATTAGACATACTCGCGCCTGAATGATTCCTCAGTTTAGTTCAGTTTAAAGCCTCGCGTTCGAGCCACGGAAGTAATTCTCTCTCGCATGCATTTTTTTGATAAGGCTTCTGTGAAGTGAACAAGGATCAAAGAGAAGAATTTAAGCTTGTGTTTCTCTTGTGGGATCGAGAGGAAGGGTTTGAAGAGAAGTCTTGTAAATTCCCTCGATTTTAGAGATGAGATTTGAGTGATTATTTTGTAGTTGTCCTAATTTCATAATGAAAATTTTTTGGCGGTGTGGCTCCGTTATTTTTTTCTGTTCTTGAGTTATGCTTTCTTTTCTGGAATTTTTTAACTTGTGCTTCTGCTCGATTTTCATTGTTTCAGATTTCTCGAATCAGTGTGATCCTATTTTGTAGTGCGGTTTCGATTTATAATTGATCGAAGCCCTTGTAGAAGAGAAGGATAAAAATTTCCATCACAACAAAATATGTGTCTAGTGGCATTAAAGTCGAATTTAGAGAATACCAGTTGAGATTGCAAATTTGGAACCTTCTTCTCAGAAAACTCGTATTGTTTCACAGGTACATTAGCGGCCTAGCCGGAAGAAAACAAAAGCAAACATTAGGAAAATATCACTTAATACCACTCAAAAATGGGTAAAAAAAAAAGAAAAAATCAGTGTTTCTATCATACAATCAGATAGGAAACAAACTTCAACTCTTCAGGCAACAAAAAGAGTAGAGCATTTCCTTCAGCACCTTCCCCACGAGCAGTTCGGCCAACTCGGTGTACATATTCCTGAGCAATATAGCATTTTGTGGGTAACAGAAATTTAAACAACATATTAATAGAGAATTTTGAAATAACTCTTATGCTTTACTGCATAAAAATAATATAGAAATAAAAAAGTAGAAAAACATTATTGCCTTTGGCTCATCAGGAGGATCATACTGCAAAATCCAATCCTAGAAAAAATAAAAAAACAAGCAATTAATTTTTTAAACAAATTGATATACACAATAAGAAAAAGAAAGTTTAAAGCACAGCAAAACAAACCACAGAAGGAATATCAAGACCACGAGCAGCAACATCAGTACAAAGCAAGATACCCTTGCTGGCCTTACAGAAGTCAAAAAAGGTAGTAGTCCTTTTCTGTTGCTTCTGCTTTCCATGGATATCATAACAATCTATCTGAATATATTTGAGAAGCTCTGCATGGAACTTGACCGAGTTGCAAGAAGAAAAGAAAACCATGACCTTTTTTGACAAATTCTTCTTCAGAAAAGCGTACAAAACCAGGAATCTTTTGTTGCTTGGCACCACACAATAACCCTGCTGCAGTCCTTCGACGGTAATCTATTGAATCATTGTGGTCATTTCCAAGCAGACGTATTAATAAAAAGAAGGAACATTTACATACATAGCAAACAATTCTTATGTATTTACATATTACGCACCTAAACTTTCATATTTACACACATGACACTCAAATCTTTAATATCACATCAAAAATAATATTATTACTACTTTTAAAAAGTCAAATCTTTAATATCACATCAAAAATAGTATTATTACTACTTTTAAAAAGCGATACATATTTTCATGCATAAGCTTAAAGCACCAAAGTGCTATGAATGTAAATATGAAAGTTTAGGTATGAGCTATGTAAATACATAAGAATTGTGGGCTACTTATGTAAATTTTCCTAAAAAGAATAGCAGGAAGAGATAGGATCCTGCAAATTACCTTTGATCTCCCATCATCAACACCGATATATACAGGAGCTTCCTTGAATGTTAATTTTGCAAAATCCTCAACCTGCATGTATCCTTTCCAAAAATCAGTAAAGGGGGAAGAAAAGAAGGTTTGAATAGAATAACGCTTCAATTACAAACCTCCTTAGTCTGTGTAGCCGTAAACAGAGCTGTTTGGCGGTCCTGCATGGATATATATAATTATATATAACAATAAGCTGATAATTCAAGAATAAAATAACAATTAAATCCTAATAGACATTTTGGAAAAAATTAATATGCAAATTAAGGAAGGAGCAATCATATTTGTTTTACAGTGAGTGGATTTCAATCTCAGAAGTAAATAGATTTGAAGTGGTGTTATAGTAATAATTTGTATTATAACAATTCACTTCTAGTCAACTCTGTTTCTGTATTTGGTTGGGCTAGAGTGAGTTTCAATTTTATCCATTATCACATAATTTTTTACATTCAGTTGTTATTCTTAAGCAATAAAATAATATTTTGATTATCATAACATTAATTTAATATTGCTGTATTTCTATTAAAAATAGGAAAAAGCAAAACTGATAGTGACTTTCTAGAAATCAATATTGAAGCAAAAATCAACATTTTTTATAGTGAGTTGCAGAATGAAAACTTCACTCAAACAAACATATCAATTTGAAAAACAAATTTGTATTTGGAACGAGGTTGTAGCCATGGGTAGCAAGCATACCCAAGGACATTGAGAATTGAATAATCGAGATTATGGTTTCACAGCAATTGATATGGATAGAGATTTTGAATTGTCAAGGATGACATTCTATTTATCAGATCGACGACACTGATGAGAATATCAACTAAAAAAAAAAGTAGGCCAGCTTCTAGAATGGCACAGTTGGTTTCACTGCCTGTGATTTTGTTTGGCTACCCTTTTTTATTCATGGGTGTAGGGGCTGCCTGTGATTTTGTTTGGCTACCCTTTTTTATTCAGGGGTGTAGGGGCAGTAAATTTGGCAAGAGATGTTACATTGATCAACTGATTTTGTTGAATATGGCTTGTACAATCACCACCACAAGTAGGGGAGTAAATGAGTCAAGCACAAGTCAACTCGCCTCCTATTGCTCACTAACTTGAACTCAAGCTCAACCTTGAGTCAAGCTCGGCTCATGGCAATAACGGCAAGCTCGCTAGCCGGCTTGCTAGCTCTAGCTAAAGAAGAAGTCGCTAGAGGAAGTTCACTGGAAATGGTGTTGACGTGACTAAAGCCTTGAGCTGAAGACTAACTTGAACTCAAGCTCAACCTTGAGTCAAGCTTGGCTCATGGCAATAACGGCAAGCTCGCGAGCCGGCTTGCTAGCTCTAGCCAAAGAAGAAGTCACTAGAGGAAGTTCACTGGAAAAGGTGTTGACGTGACTAAAGCCTTGAGCTGAACGAAAGAAATTGAAACAGGAACTCAATCGATATGGCATCATAAACCAGATAATGCGAAAGCTTACTGGAAAAAGCATAAGTGTGATCAGTGAAGAAGGCTCGCTCGCCAAAGAAAACAACGATACTTGCGAACACCCGTTAAAGAAATAATGGATTTTGCAGGAAAGGATTAAATCCAAGATAAAAGAATTAATATTTTACCATATTCAATATAATATTATGTGAAAGAAATTAATGTGTTTGATTAGAATAGTTTCAATAACTTGAGAATTATTTTCAAAATAAAGCGAGCTTGTGACTGGCTCAAACTCGTATGATATAAGAGCTATAATCTAAACTCAAGCTCAGGCTAGCGATTCAATAAGCTCAACTCACAAACTCATCAAGCAAGAATTGGTTCGGCACACGTACACCCCTAACCACTAGTTTCAATTTGGGAGTTTAGTTGTCATTCTATTCATATTTATCTCCTATGTTAAATTTTGAGGTTAAGCCTGTTTTATTATTATTATTATTATTAATGAACCCAACAAAAAAAGTGAGAAGTCAATAATGAATAAGAAATTTTGAAATTAAGCCTGATTTGTTTTTCATTAGAAAACCCAACAAAAATGTAAGAAGTCGACAATGAATGAGAAATAGTATTTATAGCCTTGGTTTCGAATTGTTGGTGAAAGACAGATTGCAACAAAGTGTATAATCCAGAAAAGGGAAAAACAGTGAGAAGATGATAAAGAAAGTGGTCATTTATGATTTTTTGTCAGAGTTACAGAAAGTATATGAGAATTGATTTGTAGATATACCTATATTGGGATTAATGTAAGCTGTAAAATAAATGGTGGAGCGAAGAGGATATCCCAGCCTATAATATTATTTGAAAGTGGAGGACAGTTTAGACAAGAAGGTACTGCTGCGTGCTAAAAAATTGATTGGACAATGTAGCGAAGTGCAAAATGGGATAGAGAAGAATTTTGTGTGTATTCCAATCTTGGACATGGAAGCCAGCCACATCAACATGGACAAAGCAAAGATTTTCATTAATGACACTATACATATAAGGTTATGGGAACGGTGCAGTACATGAAGATTTGATAAAGTTTAAGCTTACTGGGTGGAGTCAGAAGAATACCATTACTAGCATGTGACATGGGGAGAGCCAAACCATTGCCAACTATGACTTGATGTTAGCTTGTGTATGGTGTTGGATTGGACAAGTTTTCACCACTAAAGGTTAAATGAGCTGTTTACATAGTTATTATTAGGATAACCTTTGAAAAGTTACCAGAATTCACTTTTAAAAGTGAGTTTCAATAGCTTCTGGATGCCTACAGTGAAACAAATTGGACTTAATGTCTGCAAACAAAATAAACACAAATATGAAAATGTTTCATCATATGACTACACCTCCATTCATAAAATGGAAACTTACAATGCAACGGACACTTACTACCAGAAAAACACCAACAAAGAACTTGAAAATAACAAACATAGGTTGGGGCTGGACTTATTGTGCATAATCTCAAAATAAAATAATACCACGTGAGCGACTTGATATGCAAAGCATGAAAGAAAAAAAAAACAAAATTCATGATCTCCACGAGAAAGCAATTTGTGCAACATAATGAACAAAATTTAACCAAAATCAAAATGAAATCAAACCATTGGGGCTGTTCTTTGATTGGAGAAAACCAGGAAAACCAATCATTCATCCTGGAATGTCCAAGGAAGAGCACATGTCTAGAAGAAGCTATTGGTAGCCATGAAGAAACCAGAAAGGAGTAAATTAATTCATAACTGCATTCTAAGTTTGGCAAGGATAGATTAAATTAAAATCCAGAAAAACAATATTTTATATGTTTGCTATTTATATGATAAGGCATAAAAAACATAAAGCTGTTAATTTTTGTCTAATAATTTACCAAGAAAACAAACATCATATATTTGTTAAAATAAAGCTACTATTTCCACTAGTCTTATTAAATTTCATATACTAGGAGAGAATGTCGTCAATCCGGCATTGATTCTGCATCTTAGATGATGAAAGTGATGGAATGCTAGAACAGACACCAAAAAGGAGTGATAGAAGTAACAAGGATTTCACCAAAAGTCCATGGTCAAAATTATATCAACCTTGCACTAATTCTCCTCAAGATAGAACAAAGGCTAACCCATAAAGCAAATACCTAATGCATTATCATTCTAAAAACTTGTTTGCACGAAACAAAATGACTTTTTGAACTCTTGGTCCGTATAGCACGTATGTTAAAGACTTGTTTAATTCTCATTATTAAAACAATTTTTTTATAAAACTCAGTATGCAAATCATGCACATAACAAGCAATTCAATCAGTTAACTCAATAATGTTAGATAGAAGTGGAATCGATAAAGCTATGAATTGGGCATGTTGATAGCCATGTGACTACCTCAAAAGGACTAAAACTCATATACAATTGACAAAGTTATCTCCAAATTCAGTGGCGATTAAAATTAAGTTCCCAAGTAATTAGCAAAGACTCCAATTGAAATTTTTAATTTTCCCATGAATGCAAGGATGACAACTACTTAAAAATAAAAATGCCACATTCATTGCTTCTTAATAGGTTTTCATAATTAGATCACTTATGAGTAATAATGGTCTGTAGACTGACCATTCCAAAGGACAATCTTGTGAAAGAACAAGTTGCATCTCTAAGTAGTTTTGAATCCAACCAAGAGAGCAAGGATAAGATTGAGAAATCTTTTGAAGTCCCAGTTTCCTAATCAGGCTCATTAAGGTCAAGCTCTTTCAACTCCCTATGCAAAATGATGTTCAACAGTCTTTAACATAGATAAGCAAATTGCGAAACTCATCACCTACACTAGAGTTGAGTGACAAACTCGACTCTTTCTCTTTCAAAACAAAATAATTAACACTATGCAATAGGGTATTGAGGAGTATTTTGTTCTTGAAGCGAAGCATAAGCCTCGAGAGGCGGTCTAAGACAAAAGTTAATAAATGGGTAAAAAATAATATATTAGTATCATAACTAATAGATATAATATTAAGATCCTAACAAGATAAAAAATGACAAACAAAAATAATATATTAGTATCATAACTAATAGATATATTAAATAAGGACATATTAACATCCTAACAAGATAAAAAATGACAAATTAGATTTAAATGAAATAACAAATTGCATCTATATGAAAAAATAAATTAAATAAGCCGCAAAATATCATGTAACTTGCACAAAGCAAAAATATAATGTACATATCAACTGATTAATTCATCGAACTAACATAAACAATGAAACGAAAGTAACATAAAATATCAAAGAAAAACCTAAGATGAGTTTAACATAATAGATTTCACTCCCATTATCCAACCAACGTAATAACATTAGGAGGCAATAAAAGCAAGCCGAGCAGCAGGTGACAACAGCTGCTGGAGCGGGCAGTTGAAACAACGGGAATATCAGAAGCAACAGGCGACGGTGGCTACAACAGAAGCAAAGAGAGGCAGAGGAGGCAGTTGTAGGAAGAGGCGGGGGCCGACGACACTAGCAACAAGAGCACCAGGTGGCAGCAGTGACGGCGTTGGAACGAAAGCAAAAGGTGGCACTGACGGCAGTGGCAACAACTTCAGTAAAAATTAAAGGTGGCGACATTAGGAAGCTCAACTATAGAGAAGGGAGTTCTTGTGCGTGAGAGTTACATCTTCAGTTTGTATTTGAACCATCTAATTTAAAAAAAAAGCGCAAGAGGCGCATGCATCAGCCAA